TCTCTGAGCTCCATGCACAACAGAGACTTTCAGAACACGAGGTCAATACTGTGAACAGCAATCAGCGTGCACAGTCCTTCGAAGCCGTTGCGCATGCACATGGCTAAGAAGAAATGTTGATGAAGAAAGATGCTGTAAGGTTATGTAAGAGGAAGGATGAATAGATGTAAGTCTTGTGCTTTGTTGTTTATATGTCATATACCTGGTGATGAAATACATTTTTAAATAGTGTTTCATCTCTTATAAGGGTGGAGGCATGTAAAGATCATGCTTTTTTTTAATCTATCTTTATGTTGAATTATGGACCAAAATGGGGAAAGGACTACTTCAATCCGAGGTGCAATGGCCCTTCTGTTTCTCCCGTTACCACCAGCTTTTTTGGTTTCTCTAGAACCGGATCTTTTTGCGTCCAAAGTTGCATATTGTCAGTGGTGACTGGAAGAGTGTCCACGAAGTTTAAAACCAAAACGGACTCTTCCAGGGAAGGCACCACCAGTGGAGTGTCTGCCCGTGGGATGTGCTCAAGGCATCTGCATTAGCCACTTGGCTTCCTGGATGGTGTTCTAACATGTACTTGTACGCGTTGAGAGCAAGGGCCCAAAGCTGAATTCTACCGGAAGCTATGGGCATCACCACCTTGTCTTCCTTCAGTAGCCCTAGCAGTTGTTTGTGATCTCTTATAATGACAAATTTCCTTCTGTAAAGGTACCTGTGAAACTTTCTCACACCAAATTTTCCAGGGTGGCACGGTGGCTCAGTGGTTAGCACTGTTGCCTCACAGCACCAGGAACCTGGGTTCAATTCCATCCTCGGCCGACCGTCTGTGTGGAGGTTGTACGTTCTCCCCCGGTTTCCTCTGGGTGCTCTGGTTTCCTCCCACAGTCCAAAGATGTGAAGGCTAGGTGGATTGGCCATGCTAAATTGCCCGTAGTATTCAGGGGTGTGTAGATTAGGTGGGTTATAGTGGAGTGGGTCTGGGTGGGATGCTCTGAGAGTCGGTGTGGACTTGTTGGGCCAAAGGACCTGTTTCCACTCTGTAGCGATTCGATGATCTTCTCTAATTTGAGCATATTTGCGTTCAACATTAGCCAAAGTCCGGGAAGAATATGGAATCATGCGTTCCTCTCTGCTGGGCTACTGGTAAGCCAACACTACGCTGAAACTGTACGGGGAGGTATCGCATGTCAGCACTAGCTCTCGCTTTGGATCGTAGTGGGTCAACGCCTTAGATGACAATAGCTGCTTTTTCACTTCCCTAAAGGCTACTTCTTGGCTACGCAACCATTTCCAAGGCTGACACTTTTTCAACAGGAGGTATAAGTGTGCCAAGGTGGAGGCCAGATTATGTATGAATTTTCTGTAATAATCCATTAACCCAAGAAAAGACCTAAGCCGCAGTACAGACGTGGGAGCCCAGGCTCCTTTCATTACCCTCACTTTCCTTTCCAATGGGCGTAACCCAGTTTTGTCCACTCTGTAACCCAAGTAGGTCACTTGGGTGCCTGAAACACACATTGTTTCCTTCTAAGGTGTATGCCTGCCTGGGAGAAATGTTTAAGCACTATGTCCAAGTTCTCAAAATGCTCTTTACTGGTCTTCCCTGTTATTAGTATGTCATCCAGATAAATAGCAACCTGGAGTAGTCCTTGTAAAATGTTCTACATGGTCTGCTAGAAAAGGGCACAGGCTGATGATACCCCAAATGGCAGTTTTGTATACTGATGTAAAACCTTGCAGGGATTAATTGTGGTGTACTTCTAGGACTTCTCATCCAGTTGCAATTGCACGTATGCGTGGTTCATGTCCAGCTTTGTAAAGGATAGCCCCCCTGCCAACTTTGCGTACAAGTCCTCTATGCAAGGGATTGGGTATTTATCCAGATGCAAGAAGCAGTACACCATTTGTTTAAAATCCCCACAAAGGTGAACTGGCCGGTGCTGCCCATTTGGCAAACTGCGCTGGTTTGATGATCCCTTTGCTCTCCAGCCTTCTGATTTCTGCTTCTACTTTTGCTTGCAAGGCAAATGGCACTGGGCAGGCCTTGCAAAATCTCAGAATTGCTTCCTGGTCAACATGTAAAGTGGCTTTGGCCCCTTTGATAGTCCCAAGCCCTTCCTGATATACTCCTGGGTATTTCACTCGGACGTCACTGAGGCTGCCATTTTCCAATTGATAAATGTTGAGCCAATCGAGGTGAATTTTTCTCACCCAATTCTGCCCCAACAGTCTTGGGCATGAGCCTTTTACTACCGTCAGTGGTAAGTGCAACAACTGTTTCTCATAGGAGACCGGAACTGAAGTTGTACCTTGAATTTGCAACGGTTCCCCACTCTTATGTTGTCGGTCTGGCTGAGGTCTTGTGCAAACATAAGGATTGGGGTCCCGAGTGAATCTTGTTAAAGACCAATTCTGCAACCACAGATACCAGTATTGACCTCCATGCGAAATGGGTGACCATTTAACCAAACATTAATTTCAATTGGTTCCGATTTGGATGTCACTAAGCAATTTAATTGTTCCAACCCAAATGTAGGGGGACTTTCCAGGGTGTGCACTCTCCTGGGTACCGGTCTACGAGTTTTCTTATTAAAGTCAGGCCTTGTAGGACTCCTCTGCTGTCTCGTGTCCACACACTGACAGCAACTACAAGAACTTTTTCAGCCACTTGGCCAAGGTTCGGTTTTGTTGTGGGGTTCTGTTGTGGGCTGGCCTAGGGTCCCTATATTCAGGATATGCCCTGAGTGAGGCTCTGCAATTGCCTACACTCAAGTGGTGTTCCCCAGACTCAGTCAGACAGGTGAGGGAGTCCACTTCCATTGGGATGTAGCTCCCATGCTCCACTTGCCGCATTTTCTAATGACAACACCAGTTGTAGTGCCTATTTGAAGTCCAGATGGTGCTTCTACACAGTTATGTCATTAATATGACATACCAAACAGTCTCTCAGTATCTCATTCAGTGTTAACTCAAAATCACTTGCCTCTGCCAGTCTTCTCAACCTCGTCAAAAATCCCAATATGGATTCCCCCAGTTCTCTAACAGCCAAAGTAAACCGATAGCATCTCAGAATCAGAGGAGGTTTGAGGTCACGATATTGCTTGACCAACTCTGTCAACTCCTGGAAAGTTTTAGCGTCTGGTGCCTCTGGGAAAGTTAAGCCCCTTATAATTGAGAATGCTGCGAGTCCGCAAACAGTCAGAAGGATTTTCGTTGCTTTTCATCCACCCCAATGTCATTTGCCTGGAAAAAATATCGCATTCTTTCCACATACTGGGCCCAATCTATGACAGCAGGATCAAATGAGTCAAGCTTCCCAGATAAAAGCATGATGCCAGAAATGCTTACCTCAACTCCAAGATGACTGTAGCAAGCAAATGTTCTTCAGGTACATCCTGTTTTCTCCCGTCACCACTGAAATAACTGCACAGAGCCAGTATCCCGTCACCAAGTCACCCTTTATTTACTTGTACACAATTCACTGGCTATGACCAGCTAGCTCAGAGTCAGTTGTCTGAACTGAGGAGATCTACTCTCCTGGTTATATTGGTCAGCCAGGGCTTTCCTGATTGGGGTTGTACCTGTGCCAATCAACAACCTCATAGTCAACCTGGTTCCAATCACTACACAAACAATACAGATGCAAAAGTATCCAGGCTGTAGCAAAAAAAGGGTAGCTTTCTCTCTCTCTGTTGGTAATAACCATAACCTGGAAGATAGCTATTCTCTCCAGCCATTTACTTTAAGATGGTGTCTCTAACTGGTGACTGACAGACTAAACAATTAGTTGCCGAATTTCCTGAGTCTGCATTAAAAAAACTGAAACAGCTCAGGATGAAGAAGTAGTTCACAGATTAGAAGGACTTGGGAAGCAAAAGGCACTGAATCCTGTGCACTGGTGCTGTTGAACTGTTTCTGCTGCTTTTTTTATCCATGTTTGTTTGTTTGACTCTGTCTATCTTTATGTGTGTAATGATTTAGGAAGTGGAGTAGAGATTCAGCTAGAACAGTTATATATGTTCATAAAAAACAGTTTTGTTTCCCTGTAGTTAGAACTAATTTCTTTGTAATAAATAGTAGTTCCAAGTTATGTAAAGAAACCTAGTCAATGTTTTCTGTCAACCTGAGTTCATCAGACAGGAAAACTGGGGACTTTGAGTAATTTGATTTTCTCAGGAGTAGTGGAGCTTGGATATTAGTGCACTTTCCCAAGTGGATTGTGACCGAATGTAGGGCTGTTTAAACCAATCCTCCTAATTTCTCAATATTCTCTACTATCAGTTATGTTTAAGAAGATGAGAGGTACTGTGGGTTAAGCATTAGAGAAGAAATGTTACATTTTAGCTATCAGCCTCAGAAATGTAGAAAATTTGGCTGCTAATAAGAAAATATTAACATCATGATGGTTTTATTTTAACAATAAAATTTCAGCTAGTAAACAAAATTATACTTGAACCTGTTTTCTTCAGGATTATATTTTCAGTTAATGATTAAATAGCATTGTTTTAAGGGATCATAGATTATATCTGCTTAAGCAACCATTTTTTAAAACATATATTTTAGCTAGGAAAGATGTTCTGAGCCTGAAGGCTGAATTGCACTGTGACTTACATAGTAAAAAAAAGTCATATATGAACCAAGAAATTGGGGGTTTAAAAGAATCATGAAATGACAAAAAAATGGACAAATAAATTTAACATGTAATAGGGAACACTTGAGTGATATTGAAGAAAGGGTAATGTTGAATAAAGCATCTTTTGAAATTACTAACCAATACATTCATTCTACAGTCCAAGCAGCAAAATGCAAATAAATTTTTATAATTTAAGTGCTTCAGTAAAGACCCAAAGCATCAAAAAGGGAGACTTCAACATCTGAAATAATTAGTTGCAGGAAATAGTAATGAATAGCCATAGCAGTTTTGCAGATTATATACTTTACCTCTAGGACCGCTAGCAATCACCGTTAGCTGATGTTTTTGCACAGGATGTTCGGAATCTGATGCATAGTAGTTTATTGATACTCAAATTCTCACCTGCCATGGCAGAGGATAATAAATCATGTAATTTTATTTCATAGCATGAAACATCACTAAATTTGAGTAGAAATGAAAGGGGGTAGTGTGGTGATGAGTTCAGGAAGCAGGAATTAGATGACAGCAGTGAGAGATTTAAAATGCAGGAGGAAAGACAGACTAAAGAACATTGGAGTTCTGCAGGTTTGAAGTTCCAGAAAAGAAAGTTAGAATAAGACATTTGTAGTCAAAGTTAAATCTGAACTTGGTGAGGATTTTCAGAGCATTCATGCATATTTGGAGCTTAGAAAAAGCAAGACCTATCTTTCAATAATGCTCAAGGCAGAATTTGCTAATAGAACCATTGAGATTTAAAAAATTGGGAGTGGCCACCAGCTATGTGAGAGTTCTTTGTTCAAGCAATTCAAATGAATTCAATAACTCCATCACTTCCATAGGTCTATTTCTCACCTCACAAATCTGTGCCTAATTATTTGAAGATTACATTTTTGGTTGCTAAGTTGATATTAAGATTTTATAAGATGCAGAAACTAGAAAATATTATTTTTCTGAAAACGTGATTCTGCACTTATACATTTGGGTTCATGTATTTCAATAGGTCAAAGGAAAAGGACAATTAGAAGCTTTTTTCAGTCCAGGATTTGGTGTGCAGAGAGGAGAGAATTCCCAGCTCCATGAAACTGACATTTAAAAATAACCACCTGCACTCCCTGTTTTTAGACTGGAAGGGTACACTGACTTAAAATTGGGACAGGTCCGCCTGGAAGACGTGAAGTGGTTGTAGGGTTCGGAGGCAGGCCACCTCAGGACTTCAGTTCTGCGTCCAAAAATTAAAATACAAGAATAAAACATAAAACATTCCTCACATCCTCTTTACCCCCACACACTTCCCATGCCACATTCATGGCAACTCATCCAACAAATGTCCTCTACCCATCTCCTGTGATTGTTCATAATCCCATCTCCATTTACCCAACCAAGATGCTTATCATACTCCATATGCCACTCTATTCCCCATGCATATCCTACATGTCTCGTCATACTCCCTAACTTATCCTATGTTTCCTACCTAGCCACCATTGTCCCTCATCCTCCGCAAGCCAATTTAATGCCAAACTGTAGTTCCACCCACCACTCTCACCTTCACCTACCATGTAAACTCACCTTATGTCCATACATATAGAAGAACAGGAGACAAAATAAAATTCTATTACTTAAAGTTCTACATTGCCAAATACACTCTACTGAGAAATAAACCCATTTTGACAGTTCTTGACAGCTGTGAAATTGTTTTGACAGTTTGACAATTCCCAGAGGTTTATACAACTTTTAGAAATAATATCCTCCGCTCCAGTCGAAAAGGATAAGTGACTTCACCTCCATGCAAGCATCGGAGTGAAAGTTATTTGGATACTTTGATCAAGAGGTAGTCACACCCCTTACATTAGGCAACATTTTAGATTTGATCAAAGTAATTGAGGAAAATTACAATAAGATGTGAATGTGAGTTTGTGGATATGGGAATACAGGATGCAATGATGGAGGAACATCAGCCTTAACCTTGAAGAAATGAAGCAACTGCTACCTGCAGGGACAAGAACGAAGACTGCAGGGAGGAGGGTCAATTTGATCATGGCTGAGTATCCTATGAATTCCACCTCTAGGTGGGGCAAAGCAGAAAGAAAATGAATGCCATTCTCAAGCTACAGGGTGTAACTGCCATCTAAAGATAGTGGGGAGAGGGATAACAAGGTGTGGAGCTGGATGAACACAGCAGGCCAAGCAGCATCAAAGGAGCAGGAAAGCTGACGTTTCGGGTCTGGAACCTTCTTCAGAAATCTAAAGATAGTGTTGCCCGAATGTAAAATAAAGTAGCCTGTGAAACATAACAAATAATACTTTATTTTATCCTAACAGCTTCCCTCGCACTCCTAGTTCTAATCCTAAACCTAACTACAGCCTCCCAATCTTCCCCAGCTTTCCCATCACTCCCAAGAAAAACAGAAAGAAAGTTGGGTCTCAATGCAGAATGCCCCCCCTCCTGCTTGCTTCCACTGTAGGCCTCCCCCACACACAAGGGGCCTCCCTCACATGAAAGCAAGATTGGCTGTGGCCAACAGTTCTCAAGAGCCTGGATTTCCACCCATGGCGCTTGATCCTTGTGAAGCCATGTCGTTGGCCACTTAAGTGCCTAATTAACACATAATATGACAGGTCTTTCCCAAATGAGGCAGTGTGCAACACTTCCCGGCTCTCATCTGCTGGATGCAAACCCTGCATCCCAAAGTCATTGAGCAGCATAGTTATTTCAATAAAGATAAACAGTGTAGGACAAGGAGTTTATTAGACATAGTGCCTGAATGAATTAGATCAAGTCAAGAAAAATACTCAAAACCTTAGTAAAAGGTTTTTTTAAAGAATTTAGCCTATTTTTCTAATCAACCTTTCCAGAGATGTTATTTCACACTTCTGGAGCAGGTGGGACTTGAACTCAGGTCTCTGACCAGGGGTAGAGATGCTACTACTGCACCACTAGAACCCAGAAGTAATTTAATACAAGAGAGCCAAATTAATTGGCACACTAATTGGAATAAATTGGTTTGCTCAATTACCCTTTGCAAAGGCATGACTATATAGTGGTGAAAGTTGGGAACTAAATATTTGAAGTGCTTAACATTATAAAACGACTGATAAAATGAAAAAAAGGTTTGCAGCTCTAATTTAAAAAGAAAGTTATAAAGGCTAGCATGAGAAAAGATCTTTGGTCAAAATATCAGTAAATAGAAACAGCTAGGTAATGATAACAAATGACGAGAAAGAAACCACTCTTCAGAGAAGCAACTATTATGCTGAACAGGTTATTAACAGGAAGTGGGGGTTTGTAAATGCAAAATTCATCTTCACACGGACAGGACAAATCAATTTGTCAAAAGCAGTTTGAAGGTTAAGCATTCAAGACATTTTCTTAGAACTGGATATGGAACCAGTGTGAGGTCCCTTTAAGAGATTACAACTGAATATTAATCAAAGGAAGTGATGTCATGTCCCACATGCTGGATGAATTGGAAATGTAGACTAACAGAACATGAAGGCGATGGAATGTACTCCTGTACTTTTGGTGTCTATAGATGCTCCAGTTACAATAAAAAACATTCGTATGAGGTTGCAGACATGCTTGCCGAGCTGGTGGATTTGGTTGCAAATGTTTCATCACCCTGCTAGGTAACATCGTCAGTACACCTCCGGCGAAGTGTCAGTGTTCTGTCCCACTTGTTATTTATATGCCTTGGTTTGCTGGGGTGGATGGTATTACTTCCGGTTTTGTTTCGCAGTAGTGTGTACACAGGGTCTGATTCAACGTGTTTGTTGATGGAGTTCCGGTTGGAATACAGGCCTCCAGGAATTCCCTGGCATGTCTCCATTTGGCTTGTGTGATTATAGATGTGTTGTCCCAGTCAAATTTGGATTTCTTGTTGTCCGTCTGTAGTGAGACAAGTGAGAATTGGTCGTGTCTCTTAGTGGCTAGTTGGTGTTCATGTATCCGTATTGTCAGTTTTCTTCTGGTTTGGCCTATGTAGTGTTTCTCACAGTCCTTGCATGGTATTTTGTATATTACACTGGTGTTGGGTATGGGATCCTTTACATTCGTCAGTAGCTGTCGTAGGGTGGGTATTGGTTTGTAGGCTACTCTGATGCCTAGGGGTCTGAGTAGTCTTGCGGTTATGTCTGAAACATTCTTAATGTACAGTAGGGTGATTAATGCGTCTTCCTGTAGTGGTCTGTGTAGGAGGTAACGGCAGATTGTGCTTTTTGGGTATCCTTTCCTTTTGAAGACTCCGTATAGGTGCGCCTATTCTGCTTTGCATAGTTCCGGGTTGCTGCAATGTAATGTGGCTCGTTTAAATAGTGTCCTGGTGCAGCTCCGTTTGTGGCATTGGGGTGGTTGCTAATAATTGAGTATCTGGTCCGTATGTGTAGTCTTTATATATAGTCTGGAGTTCCCTGTTGTTTTTGCGTTCTACCATTATGTCCAGAAAGGGTAGTTGGCTGTTGTTCTCTTCTTCTTTTGTGAATTTTATCCCAGTAAGGATGTTGTTTATGTGTCAACGGGTTTCTTCTAGTTTTGTACGTTTAATAATCACAAAGGTGTCATCGACATATCAGACCCAAAGTTTGGGTTGTATAATGGGGAGCACTATCCGTTCTAACCTTTGCATTACTGCTTCTGCAATCAGTCCTGATATTGGAGATCCCATTGGTGTTCCATTGATTTGTTTGTGTATGCTGTCGTTGAAGATGAAGTGAGTTGTGAGGCACAAATCTAGTAGCTTCACGGTGGTGTCCTTAATGATGTTGTTGGTGTCCCGGTTGTCTGCCTACTTGATTCGTCCAGTGGTGTGGCAGTTGTTTCTTTGGCTAGGTCAATGTTTATGGATGTAAATAGTGCTGTTACATCGACAGATATCATCATCTTATCCTCTTCTATCCTGGTGTCCTTGATGATGTTAAGCAATTCTTGGGATGAGTGGATGGAGTGGGTAGTGGTGTCCACTAAGCATTTAAATTTCTGTTGTAGTTCCTTGGCAAGTCTATATGTTGGTGTGCCTGGTAATGAGACAATGGGTCTGAGTGGGACCCTCAGTTTGAGTACACGTGGGGAGTCCATAGAAGCAGGGTGTGTTGGATCCCTCTGGGTTCATTTTTTGGTAGTCTGTCTTGCTGATGTTTCCTGAGTTGTGTAATTTCTTCAGGGTCGTTGTAATCCAGTTCCCTACTGTAGTGTCGGGTCTATCGCCATCTATTGGTAGGTGTTGGTATCTGCTACTAGTGTGTTAGTTTTCTCGATACATTGGCCTCTATTGAGGATTACTGTCATGCGTCCTTTGTCCGCTGGTAAGATTACAATGTTTCTGTCTTTCTTGAGTCTTTCCAGGGCTTTCCTCTCTTCTGTGTTGAATGTGTTCCACTTTCCTTTTTTGCTCAGTGTTGGGACTATCGTCTGTCTGATGGTCTATTGTACTTCTTCCGTGAGTCCATTGCTCTTTAGTGTCAATTCCAGCGCATTGTTCTAACCTTTGCATTACTGTATCTGCAATCAGTCCTGGTATTGAAGATCCCATTGGTGTTCTGTTGATTTGTTTGTAAATGCCGTTGTTGAAGGTGAAGTAGGCTGTGATGCACAGATCTAATAGTTTCATGGTGACGTGCTTATTGATGTTGTTGATGACATCTTCATGATTATTAAATGCACAAAATTAGAAGAAATGCACCAACACATAAACAACATCCTTACTGGGATAAAATTCATGAAAGAACAGAACAACAACCGACTACCCTTCCTGGGCATAATGGTAGAACGCAAAAACAACGGGGAACTCCAGACTAGCGTATATAGGAAGACTACACATGCAGACCAGATACTCAATTACCCTAGCAACTACCCCAATGCCCACAAACGGAGCTGCATCAGGACACTATTTAAACGAGCCACAATACATTGCAGCAACCCAGAACTATGCAAAGCACAACAGGAGCACCTATACGGAGTCTTCTAAAGGAATGGATACCCAAAAAGCACTCTCAGTTCCTCCGTCTCCGTCGCATATGTTCAGATGAGGCCAACTTTGACAAGGGAGCCTCCGAAATGTCCACCTTCTTCCTCAACAGAGGATTCCCCAGCTCCGTTGTTGACAGGGCCCTCAACCAGGTCCGACTTATCTCCCGCACTTCCACCCTCACCCCTTCTTTTCCCTCCCGCAACAGCGATAGGGTTCCCCTTATCCTTACCTACTTTCCCACCAGCATCCACATCCAGAAGATCATCAGACGCCATTTCCGCCACCTCCAGTGAGATGCCACCACTAGACACATATTCCCCTCCCCTCCCTTGTCTGCTTTCCAGAGGGACCATTCCCTCCGGGACACCCTGGTCCACACTTCCTTCACCTGCACTTCCCAGAATCTAGTCTACTGCATTCACTGCTCACAATGTGGTCTCCTCTATATTGGGGAAACAAAGCATAGACTTGGCAACCGCTTTGCAGAACATCTACTTTCTGCTCGCAAAAAAGACGCTGAACTACTTTTGCCTGCCACTTTAATGCACCACCCTGCTCCCTGACCAACATCTCTGTCTCTGGCTTGCTGCAGTGTTCCATCGAAGCCCAATGCAAACTGGAGGAACAGCACCTCATTTTCCGCTTGGGGACCCTACAGCCCTCCGGACTCAATAGTGAGTTCAACAATTTTAGGGCCTAAACTCTCCCATGTCCCATCCCCCTACTCCACACACCAGGCCTTGTTACCACATAGACTGCCATTACACACCCCCTGTTGTTAGTCACTAACAGTCCCCATTAACAACTATTCACCCTCCCAGCCTGATCATTAGTAACTCCTTTGTCTGTCCAACTGTCTTTCTCTCTCTTTGGCCTCCATCCTATCGTTTATTCCCTACCCCACCCACTTCCCTATTTTCTGCATATAAACTGACGATTTCCCAGCCACCATCAGTTCTGAGGAAGGGTCACCGGACCTGAAACGTTAACTCTGTTTTTTCCTTCATAGATGCTGCCAGATCTGCTGGGCTTTTCCAGCAACTTTGTTTTTGTTCCTGATTTACAGCATCTGCAGTTCTTTCAGTTTTTACCTAAAAACCACAATCCTCTGTTACCTCTGAAACAGACCACCACAGAAAGACACAACACGACCAGACTCATTAATCACTCTATCTTACACAAGGACATTTCAGAGATGACCACAACACTACTCAGACCCCTAGGTATCAGAGTGGCCCACAAACCAACAACCACCCTATGAGAGCTACTGACGAACATAAAGGGTCCCAGACTCAAAACCAGCAAAACTGGTGAAGTATACAAAATATCATGCCAGGACTGTGAGAAACACTACATAGGCCAAACCAGAAGAAAACTGACATGAACACCAACTAGACACCAAGAGACAGGACCAATTCTCACTTGTCTCACTACACGTGGACAACGAGGGACACAAATTCGACTGGGACAACACAGTATATCTCTTTCAAGTTTATCTAGACCCTTCATGATTTTGAATATCTCTGTCAAATCACCTCTGAACCTTCTACACTCTTAACAAAAACAACTCCAGCTTCTCCAATTATGCATAAAACTGAAATTGCTCATGCCTGGAGCAACTGTTTTAAAACATTTTATTCACTATCTTAAATGCCTTCATATCCTTCAAAATGTGCAGTGTTCCTGTTGAGGTCAAATGTTCCAGCTGAGGTTAAACTGGTATTTTATGAATATTCCTCATAATGTTCTTGCTTTTTTATTCAATGGTCCCAAGTTTTGTTCCTGAGTTGGGTGCAGACAGGCAGCAGAATTCCTAGCTCTGCGAACCCAACCTTTAAAAATGGCCATTATTATCCCCATTTTCATTCCAGAGGGAGTGAGCTGGATTATAAATTGCACCAGGTAACTTGTGAAGAGCTAAGGAGGCTGTTAGTTGCTGATGCAGACTGGGTGAAATGCTTGTCTTAGAGTTCCGGTACTGGGTTAGGGTTAGAGCTAGCCTTAACCCTAAGTAAAATAAAAGAATAAAATATAAAACGTTCCTCCAGCCCTCACAACCTCCATATGACCATCCAGGCTAACCCATGCCACCTAATACCTTCACCCATCTCCAATAGCCTCTCAAAGCCTCTATGTCCTTACTTCCTCATGGTCCTTCATACCCCTTTACCAACTTACTGCCTTCTCCCACACACCACCTTCCCCCTTCACATACTATGCCAACTCACATAGTATCCACAAATCCATGTACACAGGAAAAAAATGAGTTATACAAAAAAAGTACCCGGATCTCCGAAGGAGTACTCGGGCTATGCAAAAGGAATGCACTTAGAATAGATATATTATGAGCTGGTCTACCTGGTGCACTCAGAGTTCCAAGCAGCAAGGTTACCAAAATGGGATTTAAATAAGTCAGCTAATCACTTATATAGCCAGCTACATTTGGGAACCATGCCTGGATGAAGCCTGAGCTAACTCTACTCCCACTGTGCCAGAAATGCTAAGTGTTGTGATCTGGGTGAGTCTTGCAATTTTTAGGCCACTTCTGCCACTTTAGACAGGCTCTCTGACATGAAGAAAATCTGGATCTATGCCACAATTTATAAAGCTCAGAAGCTGGTATATCTTTTAAACATTTTTTTTAAATTTGCACTGCCACTTTCAATGAATTGTGCACATTCACATAAGTCTTGCTGTTCTTTTACCCATTTTAGAATTTTTGACTGCCTTCCTTTATTCTTCATAGAAAAATGTATCTCTGAAAACTCACCATAGCCAAAGTGTTACTCAATTCAGTTCTTTCATACGTGAGTCAATATAATGGGATTTTTCTTACAAATGTAATTGCATTATAGCCAATATCATCATAAGCAAGCCAACCACTGCAATATTTGGATCCATCATATCATACCTTCCTTCATCCGTGTCAAAAGTCATGCAAGTTATAGCAGCATCTCCACGAGCTCTGGTGAATTCAAATACAAGTTGGCCAGTGTCCAGATCCCACACTTTAATATCCTTATTGAACAAATAAAGAAACATTTAAGTCATAGGAATTTATTAAACGTTAAACACCGGTCAATCTATTCATCATGCAATAAAGGTAATTTATAAAACAAATATATGTTACATCGTAGTTATGTTACAAAGTTCTTTTCTGTTGTTTTGCCAACAAGAAAACATCTAATTAAGCAAAGTAGGGCTGCTCCCAAAGATTTTAAGCCAATTTTCTCACTGTCCCATAAGTTATCAGCTGGTACAATAACTAAACATTATGTGTCTAACACACCCTCTACTTAACATTTAGTGCCTTTAACGTACATTAAATGCTAATGCGTACACAGAAAACTTCTTCCACAACTTAAGATGCAACAAGACAGGTGGGGAGACATAACAGTAAGTTAAAAGTAGAAAAGCAGCTGTTTCAAATGATCTGTGTTTAATCATAAACACAGACTGCACATAAGGGCACTTACAGCTGAGGAAACAGTCGTTCAGTTACATTTCTCCAAGTAGAACATTGCTTAGTTAGTTGACAGCAGTAGCTAAAAGTCAACAAGCAATAACGTAAAATGTCTAAATCTGCTTACAATGGGTTGGTGCCGTGTAAACTGTAGTTTTTGTGGAAGTGGTTCACACTGCTGTAATTATCAATTGAGTCAGATACTAAACAAGATTCCTAAAATCAATAAGTTTAAACAAGCCAGTGTAATCCTATATGGATTGATAAACAAATTAAAAGAGAAGTGGAAAAATTACCTTTAAGAAATTTTCTGGGATGATTCTAAGAAAATGCATGAACACATTAAAATTGGCCAAAGACAATGAGAAAAAAGTAGCCGCGCAATACCAAAAATTTCTATCAGTCCTCCAGTAGTGACAGATCAAAGAAATGAAATTCAAAAAAGGTGTAAATAAGCTTGAAACTGAGAATACAGACAAGATAACGAATCTTCTTATCAATTACTTCTTTCAGTAAAACAAGGGAAGGTAATCTGTGTAACACACAGTCTAAAGATAAACAACTTATCCACTTCAATATAAATTAAATATTAATTTTCTAGAAGCGCAAAGGGCTCAAACTAAAAATTTCCAGGGATTCATGATTTTATCCACAATACTGAACAAAATATGGAACCACCAACAATCATTATAAAGGAATTTTCAGATACTGGCAAGGTACAATAGATTGGAAAAAAGGCTAATTTGGTACGTAGGTTCAAAAAGAGGGACAAACAAAAGCAGGAACACTGTATTTTGTTTGGCAAAACAAAATTGATTATTGTAATTAAATTTGATAATAAATTAATAAAAAGTTATAAACATATCTCCTGAATAGAAGGATTTTATATGACCAAGCATCTCTGAGTAAGTGATAACTGTATGTAGTTGCACTGCCCCTTTAAGAGAATGGGTCAGGTGATCTGCAGGGGGGGAGCTTGAAGGTCAGTCTAGGTCCATCTGTGTAGCTACAAAGACACATAATAAACAGGTCCTGGTTCAAGTTTCCACAGAATAAAACTGAAAGAACTGTGGATGCTGGAAATCAGAAACAAAAACAGAAATGGCTGGAAAGACCCAGCAGGTCTGGTAGCATTTGTGGACAGAAATCAAAGTTAATGCTTAGGGTCCAGTGACCCTTACTCAGAACTCCTCAGGGAGTTCCATCAGGGGATATCATCAATGGTGGCAGCACACCTGCAGAGATGGGCACTGGTTCTATCAGCCTACTCAGATGAAATCAGATACTGCCATGCGGAGAAGGACAGCAATGCAGATGTTTCATCACGGCTGCCACTACCAGGGGACACAGATGTTTCTGACTGCAACCTGAAAATTATGAACTTTTCCCAGGAAGGCAAGGTACCCGTGTCAGCAAATCAGGTGTGAAACACTACCAAGAACAACCCAGCTTTGAGCCAAGTTGTGGACATAGTCCTGAGAGGGAGACCAGTCACAGTAACTGCCCAGAATTACATCCTTACCTGTCAGGGATGTGGAAGTTGTCCGTATTGGATGAGTGTTTAATGTGGGGAATAACAGCTGTTATTCTTCCCCCATTAAGAGGAAAGGTGCTAGAATAAGTGCACCAAGGCCACCTTGGTGAGATACAAATGAAGTAAATAGGCAGGAGTTACTTTTGGTGGCTGAATGTGAACTCTCAGATGGAGGAGAAAGCGGGATCATGCAAATCTTGCGCCTTAGAAAGGAAGGTGCCGCAATTGCCACTCCAGCCATGGAAATAGCCTCCATCACCATGGCAGTGGATTCATGTTGGTTTCAGTAGTGGTTGTGGATGCCCACTCCAAGTGGCCCAAGATGGCAGTTATGAAGTTGGTATCAGCAGAAGCAACGATAGAACGACTGGATGAAATACTTGCCAGGTTCAGGAACCCCCAACAATAGTGACTGACAATGGTCCATAGTTTGTGGCAAAAGAGTTCGAGGGTACCTGGAATGTCACCAAATCAAACAGGTAAGATCGGCTCCATATCACCAGCAACTAACAGCTAGGCACAGAAATTTGTACAAACCCTGAAGCAAGCCTTGAAGCCTCATAAGGGGAAGGCTCACTAAGATGGTGTATCAACAAGCTCCTCAGTATGTACTGCAATACGCCACACACAATGACCTAGTACTCACTGGCGTTCTTAGTATAAACATGCCAGCTGAGAACCATGTTTGACTTGCTGCAGCCAGAAGAGACTGGATACATGGTAGAGTGAAATCAAGAAGGACAGGTAGTCAGGAAGGCGGGAAGTCAAGGATATGCTAAAGAGGAGAGATCGTCTTGGCCAAAAATTATACAACTAGGGAAAAATGGATTCCAACGATGGTTCAAAAGGCCATCACCAACTGTCGTACAGTGTAGATCAGGGAGGAGCTGGTCTGGAGGAAACATGCAGACCAGCTGGTCATCGCACCTCACCAACAGGAGGAAGTCCCTTAAAAGTAAGAGCCGGTCTGGATGGAACCTGTGGTGTCAAACGAGTCATGTGTCTCCAAGCGAGGATTGGTCATACCCAGGGAAAAGACAGTAGCTGCATCACAAGACAAAGGCAGTCAAAGAGAGATGCAGCTGCTGAATGGTAGGAGCTTCCTGAAGGCCAGGAGACTACACCAGGAAAGGATCCTGAGACTAGGAGACAGTCTTCTAGAAACCGCCATCCCCGTAGAGACTAATCGTGTCAATGCAGACTACAGGGGGACAGCTTCATGGGCGAACTGGTCATTCTCCCACATTTTTCATGCTTTTGTAAATAGTTCTGACTATGTACATAAGTTGGCCACGATGCCTATCTAATATTTACAGTTGTTGTATATGTGTTCATTAATGGGAGTTTCTGAAATAAAGGGGGAGGGATGTTTTATATATATAGTTGGGGGTATAAGCTGCCCCTTGAAGAGAGCGGGTCAGATGATCCGGAGCAGGGACCTTGGGGATCAGTCTAGATCCAATTGTGTGGCTTGACATTTCTACCTTGTGCTATTTTTATAACTTATAATTAAACCCAAACGTAATAACAACAAAAGGGAACTACAAGAATGGTGCACCTGGATTTCTAAAATATGAATCTGTAGGGATGCACAGTAAATTTTATTAATTACAAATAAATTAACTGAAGAATAGAGAACCATCAATGCTCATCAGAGAACCTGTCACATTTGGAGTGGGGTACAGGACATGCGGAAGAAATAATGGGGGCACCTTTGGCTTCAGCATTGAAATCACCAGTCTCTAGTTTAAATAAATGATTTGAATTCAGAAACTTGATGCAAAACCGTCAAAATTTCAGGTAGTGCCAAACTGGGAGAGGAAAGGAAGACAACTTGGAAATTAAAGTATGGGGATATAATACCAAAATATAAAGAATAATGGCAGATGAAAATATGTGCTAATAAATCTAAAATACTACACATTGAAATATAAAGAAAAAGGCCTTGCATTTATATAGCAGCTTCCATGACTAAAGAATGTCTCAAATGCTTTACAACTAAAGTATTCTTGAAGTGTGGTCACGGTTGTGATGCAGGAAACTCACCAGCAAATCTGAATGCAGGCAATGTGATAATGACTAAATAATTAGTTTCTATGATGTTGATTGGGGAATAAATAGCTATACAACAGTGAAAGCTCACAATGCATTTTGAAATATTAATATGAACGGGTTCTTCCCAGCCCCTGAGTGACATGGGCAATGACATGTCATATATCCAAAACAGACAAAGTAGATTCTTGATGTTGAGAAGAAAAAGTAATATTCTACAACTACATTTGAACGGCAAAATGAGAATCTAAGGAATGTCAAAAACCTATGTGCATGCATTTGCATGTCATTAATGCATAATCTCACCTCATTGATATACAATTTCTTATTCTCTAACATGCTGGATGGAAAATAGATGGCAACAATTCCCAACATGAAAGTCAGAGTGGACAGCTCCAGCTCGCCACTTGATCCTCCAGGCCTCCATCTTGCACAACAGTCACCAATCAGCCCAGCTCGTCCCCGCCTCCCTAACCTGTTCTTCCTCCCACCTATCCCCTCCTCCCACCTCAAGCCGCACCCCCATTTCCTACCTACCAACCTCATCCCGCCCCCTTGACCTGTCCGTCCTCCCTGGACTGACCTATCCCCTTCCCAACTCCCTACCTACACTCACCTTTCCTGGCCCCATCCCCGCCTCTTCGACCTGTTTGTTTCCTCTCCACCTATCCTCTCCTCTATCCCTCTTCTATCTGCCTCCCACTCTCTCCCTATTTATTTCAAAACCCCCTTCCCCTCCCCCTTTTCTGATGAAGGGTCTAGGCCCGAAACGTCAGCCTCTCTGCTCCTATGATGCTGCTTGGCCTGCTGTGTTCATCCAGCCCTGCACCTTGTTGTCAAAGATACAATGCAGTCCATTTTTCCACCAGGGCTGTAATGGAGTAGGTGACTGGCTTCCTCAACATTAGGTTCCGATGCTTGAACCATCTGGGGTAGACCTGCGCTATACTCCAGACAAAATATGCCGCATAATCCTTGCATGCTATTCTGTGCAGAACTGCAGCAGGCACCAAGAGGATGTGATGGTGCTGAAGAGCTCAAAGATCAGTAGCAATTTTCTGAGTAGCAAGATGAGGAATTCAGCAAGAGGAATACCTTCAACATGACCAAGCAGTGTAGCATTAGGCACAACAAGCCAGACAAGACTTAACTGACACCTAGTTCCAACAGAAGCAAAAGGGTGATGTGTCATTCAATCACTGTAAATTTGTTGTTGCTCGAAAGGCAAGTTGTCCTTATTTGTTTCCAGAAGCAAATGAATTTTTCTTTGAGTTTTTTTGCTTTTGCTGAATTAAGGTGAATATTTTCAGTCTTTTTTTATGCTCTTATGGGATGTTGGCTTGCCGGCTGTGTCCATTTCAGTGCAGAAGGAGGCCTTTCAGCCTATCATGTCTCCTACAGGCTCTTCAAATGCATATCATTACTTAGTGTCAATCTCCTGCTTTTGTACCATACTTTTGCACACTATTTCTATCCAAATAAACACCCAATGCCCTCTTGAATGCCCCAACTGAACCTGCCTCCACCATATTTTCAGGCAGTGATTCCATTTCCTCACTACTCACTGTGTGAAAATGGTCTTTCTCACATCACAAAAATCCAAAAAACTGCAGATGCTGGAAACCTGAAACAAGAACAGAAATTGCTGGAACATCTCAGCAGGACTGGCAGCATCTGTGGAAAGAAATCAGAGTTAACTTTTCAGGTCAAATGAACCTTCTTCGGAACTGATTAGGTAGGAAAAGGATGGTTTTTATACAGAAGATGGGTTGGGGGGAGAGTAAACAATAGGTGGGGATAGTGCCCAAAGACAAAGAAAAACAGTTGGACAGTTACTGGACCTGAAACATTAACACTGACTTTTCTCCACTGATGCTGCCAGTCCTGCTGAGATTTTCCAGCAATTTCTGTTTCTGTTTTCTCACATCACACTTTCTTCTTTCACACATCACTTAAAAATCTGTGCAATCTTGTTCTTGTACCTTTTCTGAGCAGGAACAGCTTCTCCCTATCTTCTCTATCCAGCACACTCATGATTTTGTAAACCCTTACTAAATCTCCTCTCAACCTTCTTGTCTCCAGAAGGGAACAGTCCCAACTTCTTCAATCTATCCTCACAAGTATCTTGTTCATAGAACAATTCTTGTAAATCAGCTAAATGTTTCCTTTGAACTGAGCAGGTTGCTAGGCCATTTCAGAGGGCAGTTAGGAGTCAAAAACATAGCTCTAGGTCTAGAGTCACATTTAGGCCAGACCAAGTAAGAATAACAGATTTTCTTCTCTAAAGGACAGTAATGAATCTTTCAATTTTTACACCAATTGACAGTGGTTATATAGTTGCCATTAGACTAGCTTTTTAATTCTGGAGTTTTACCGAACTCAACATTGAACATGCAATATTGAATTCAAATTTTGCCATCTGCCATGGTAACATTCACAGTCATGTCCCCAGAACATTAGAGACCATGGATTATCAGTCTAGTGACATTATCACCATGCCACAGCTTTCAGTATGTGATGCTCTTGCATTGAACAGTGAGAAAATGTAATGCTATAGTAGGCATTGAGGAGAATACAGCACTCCCTTAAACAGGGTCCTAAGAAGGTATGATGCTAAGGATGGGTAAAGCTTGATTGTTTTAGCTGCAGTAATAGTAAATTAGACAAGGAATTATGCAAATTGTAATATATTTACAAATGTAAATCTGTATTTGCAACGAAGTGTCATCAGGTTATGTGCCCTCAGAAACTTTTCTTTCTCATTCCTGTCCAACTATGTGTACTTTGAAGGGCAGATCTTGGCTGGCAGAAGTTGACTAGGTGAATAGTTGGGCTTTAAATATAGAGCTGGAAATTGCAGAAGGTCCCGGCAGTAGTGAGTAATTTTGCCATTGCTGAGCGCACACAGCACAAGCAGAGTGACATAAAGGTGCGGTGCATAGTTAATGAAGCGAGCAGTGGAGAATCGCATGAAAAAGCTTCATAGAGCTCATGGAGAGAAACTCTCCATGAAACTCCCTGAAATTGACATGGTTTTTGGTAAAATTCAGGCTGTGGTTTCTTTTTCTTGCTTCTGAAAGGGCAAAAAGAAAGCTAATGTCTTATAGGAAGGATAACACATTTGAAAGTGAAGTACCACCTCAGTTATGCACTGGAGTGCCAGCTCAAATTTGTGTGATCGGGTCCTAGCCAGCACAATGTTGTTAGCAGTGCAGTGTGGAACACCTGAATCTCCTCTTTTGCTCTTTTTTGCCACTGACATCTCACCTCTCTTCAGGAAGATGAGTTAGCCTTTAAAGAAATCTTACTGTTGGACCTGAGTTTATTCTTGTGGTTTGCAATTGTGTAACTGAAAGTATCTCACCAACCTCATTCAAAAATTAATTAAATTTTAACAATGGTGTTATTCATCAGAACTATATAATTCAAAGTCAAATGGTATCAGAGAAATTGCTTTCAAGAGAAAGCAAGTGATCTAGTACAAAGTAAAATCTGTGGTGCAAGGAATAGAAGATTCATTTTTAATCCTGTTCTTAGTCAATCTTAGACCATCAAACCACAGGATCAAGTGAGAACAAGCAATTCAGGCAAACAAAAAGTAGGAAAGTTATGAAGGAGGGACCTACAGTACACGCACTGACAAACCACATCATTGTAGCAGAAACAACAGCAGCACTGTCAAAGTCAATAAGTCCAACTTTGCAATACTCCCAGTGGAGGAAGATTACATAAAAGTCAGTTACAGTCATGGTTGGGTTTTAGTCATAAATATTTAAAGAAAAACAAGAAGCTCTTTCTTTATCTTATTTATAATTACAAGTACTGCTGCACCATCACATTCACAACAAAAATACTTTTTGTTTGAACAGTCTGCTTACTTACAGATCCTTCACAGCAAGTGACGACTTGTCTCATTAGCTTATTGTATTGACAACACAGAACGGGTTTCTTGTGAGACACACCTTTATTCAGTTCCTTTCTGCTGATAAAATATTATTAGACTCATTAAATTTAATCAACATTATCTGTCCTAATTTTACTTCAAACAATAATCAATTATGCTGTCCACCATATTTTCTGCTAAAATTATTTTTAAAATTGCCCTATATCACCAAAATTTATATTATACACCATACAAAGATATTCTATTCAGAGGCCTCAAATAACAGTCAGTTTTATTACACTCTTCCTAGTAAGTTGTGGATAAATCTGTTCCAGTTTCTTATGTCTGATTGATTTAATATGAAGGTGACTGATGCCATGAATAATGTCCATACTTAAGCTTTACACTGCTGACCTGCTCTGGAGCAGTAGCTGTGCTAGTGAATCAGTTGCAATGTAGAGTGCCTTTAATTCCTGAGAATGATAGCAAGTGGCCAAATCTCCATTAATCTGACTATCTTTAGGTTTCACAGTGATGAGGCATGTTTGGTCTTCAATGTCCCAAACCTAAAAGACAGACCTCAAAATAATATAACCAATGAAATATCATTGCAGTGAAGACATGTATGCCAACTGATGATTTATGAGAGACAATAACGATGGAAAGAATGGTTTCAATACAAGATACTTTCTTACCTATATAATACAAAACAAATTGAAACTTTTGTAAGTAATGTTTCTATTATCAATGAAAGTTTCTCGGATTGAAAATTTTCTCAACAAACCACCCCATTGTACATTTTGCTAAACATGCAATTCATTTCCTTGTCTAGATGAAAAAAACTATATAACTTTTATCATTACTTGCAGCGTATTTATATTCCGTTTTGGATACTACTTTTGAACCATATACAACTTTCCAGAGATTCCATTCATTATGATAGATAATAGAAGTTCTACACCAGAACATGAAAAGTCATTCAGGCAGTCCATGACAGATGGCTTTTGAGGAAGATCAGAAGTTAAGTTTTTGAAAGTGAAGAATTTCAATCTTTTGCCAAGTTTTAAGATGATTTGATCCTCCACAATGTCACTGTGTCTAGGGAGATTGCTGAGAAATCCATGGGGACTGACTGATTGCATTTGCTATTTGATATGTTGTGTGTTTTTCAACCATAGCTTGTCTATTATAATATTTGTCTCATGGTAATTGAGGATGTCAGAATATAGGTTATATTTACAGTAAATCCTCTGTACCCACAAAATCATGAATCATGAATTCATCTATCCACACCAAAAAATAAGTAACAACAAAAATTCAACATTATCAGGCAAAACTCGCATATGAATTTTAGCCAATTTTTAACAAGCTCCGCACCAACAAATTTCAGCATTCACCAGGGTTCTCAGGACTGGAACCCTCACAGACCCAGAGGAATGACTGCATCTTTGTATATCTGAACCTTCATTTGTTAATAACTGCTGCATGTTTGTTTGAATAAGTTTCATTTGTAATAAATTTGTTGCTTCTCGTTGACTGGAGAATACTGGCTAATTTGGTTGTGATATTCAACTGCGTGTCTCTATGGTTAACAATATCACTGTCCTTTTTAACTTTAAACTTTGTTCTCAGGTGGAGGACTAGGAAAGGAAACACTCCAACTTTGTGTCCTTTTGGTTGCTCACAGCCTCTCTTCCTTCCATGCCTTTTAAATAATGCTGCTTCATTCAGAACTTACAGGCTCATGGTAGTCCTAAATTGCGTCGCCTGCTAGTGCAGACAGAAATCCAGGCAGTTTGTTTTGCTTGCCAGCACTGAACAGACTAGGGCACAGAACTGTTGGCGTATGGCACTATATTACATCAATGTCACACTTACAGTATGTGCTGGCAGCTCACACAGCAAACACACTGCATTTTCTTTGAACGAATGTCCATGTCTGTACATCTAAGTGAAATAGTCCTTAGCCCAGTCAAGGGGGTTTATGGTCATCAGGAGGGTGCCACCACACAGAAATCAAGGGCATCATTCATTCTCAGTCCAGGGGGTTGGTCATGATTAGTTGGTCACTTGTTGTGATCAGGGACCAGGGATTCATGGTTCTGAGAGTCAGGGAATTGGACCACAATTAGTCCTGCACATCAAGTGCAATGAGTTAGTTGATTATAGTTACATTGTGGAGCCACACAGAAATCGGTCAGAAGTCCAGTCCATTCTCAGTGAGGGTGTCCTCTCAAGCCTATCCAGGGGTTAAGGGACATGATCAATCGTGGGAATTTGAGAAGAAAATGTCAAAATGCTGTCCAGCAGCTGTGTTGAAGAAACTGGGGAACTGAAATGTGAGGATTGGAGCCAGCTTGCTGGAATACAGAAGGAATAATCATTGTGAAGGGTGGCAACATTAGTTAGAAAATGGCAGCCAATACTGTACAGGAGAAAATGGTGTAGCATGGGGAGGGACATTTTCGATTGACACCACGATGGGGGGTGGGGGGTGGTAGTGGATAATGATGTTAGGCATGCAATAGATGTTTATAGGAACTCTGGGCAAATTGGGAAGATGAAGAATTAAATAAGACAGTTGGCTGGGAATATGAGGAGTCTCAAAGCTTGTGGGGTTGACTGTGACTGCAATGCAGAATGGAACATGAAGTTTGGTGGGAGGGGGTACCAGTTCCTTGCAAGCTACAACTCTCTCTCAAGCACAATCTAGAAAGCCTTCCATCTTGACAGCTGTGCCACAAACGTGAGAAATGGCTGTCATCAGACCCTGAGTGGCCAGCGTAAATTTATTTTTTTTACTATGGGTATACAGTTCACTTGAGAGTGATGCAAGGTCCTTCAAAGGGCAATTGCATAAATCAGGTGCTCACAGATTCAAGAATAAACACATCTGCAAGCATAAAATTCTGCATCTGCATCTCATGCGCTGACCAAACAATATAATTAGAAATGCAGGTTGCAATGAATCCTGATTATGTCATTATTACAAATTAATGCTAGTATGCTCAATGAATCAGAAGTGATCACAGATGACCTGTCTCTCATAGTCAGCATTTCACAAATACATTCCATGATCTCATGGGTTGCACATCGGCATGGAAGCTGCTTTCCTCTCATATGGAACCGTAGGTGTATCTGAACAAGCTTGTATGAAATATCATGTTCCTTAGGTGGTGTTAGGTAGTAGGGTTGGGGTCAAGGTTTCAGTAATCCTACCACACATAATCTCTTACTATATATGTAGCTCATGCTTCATATATATTAATAAGGCTTAATATGCTGAGGCAATGTAGAGGCATTCATGGCCCTCCTTGTTGGTGGCCTGTATGTCCTACTATCTCAAAGCCTACAGTGAACTCTCATTTGTTTCTGTTACAACTACTGACTAGTCTCATTACTAAGGAGTTGTTTTATTTCTGGTATTGGAATTGTTCCCATTGGATCAAGACACAGCACAGACTATTATCACCGTGGCCACTGCTCAATGAAGGCATGGAGAAACTAAGAAAGCACAAAGACATCAGTAAACCCAGGACCAGCAGCAACTTCCAACAGCTGCCAAACAGCCTCCACATGAAGAAAAGGCCACAAAAGAAGGTCCCCTCAGGCTTGGAGGTGGTTCTGGAAGGCAAGGATTTATAGGTGTAACTGTGATTTCATCCAAATGAGGGAAAGCAATAGTGACACGAAATCAGGATGTACCAAGACACCATAACAGAGCTGTCATCTAGTCTAACAGGACTTGTGATCTGAAGGGATGAGTGGCTGTATTATTCTTGTGGCTGTCAAAGTGACAGCTGCACTTGCTTTTAACATGACTGCCTGCTTACAAGAATTCACTGAGGACTTGTGTGGAAAAAAAACTGAAAGAACTGCAGATGCTGGAAACCTGAAACAAAACCTGAAATTGCTGGAAAATCTCAGCAGGTCTGGTAGCATCTGTGGAGAGAAATCAGAGTGATCATTTCGGGGCCAGTGACCCATCTACAGAAGTGATGGTAGCTAGGAAAAGGATGGCTCTTACACAGAAGATGGGGTGAGGGGAAGGAGAGTAAATGACAGATAGAAATAGAGCCCAAAGAGAGAGAAAAACAGTTGGGCAGACAAAGAATGGTTAAGGGTCAGTCTGGGGAATGAATAGCTGCTAATGGGGACTATTAGTAGCTGACAATGGGGTTGTGTCTGATAGCAGCCCATGTGATGACAAGGCCTGGTACGTGGGGGTGAGGGAAAGGTCCTCAAGCCCTAAAATTGTTGAACATGATATTAAGTCCAGAACGCTGCAGGGTTCTCAAGTGAAAAACAAGGTGCTATTCTTCCAGCATTCCTTTTTCTAGTCCTATTTAGGCCTCCACCCACAACACTTTCTCTGGTACTTCGATGACATCATCTGTGCTATTTCCCTCTCCCCTCCAGAATTGGAAAGGTTTATCAATTTTGCTTCTAATTTCCACCAAGCTCTCATCTTCACCTCGTCCATCTCTGACCCCACCCCCCTTCCCTTCCTCAATATATCAGCTTCCACTTCTGGGGAAATCCAATATCCACTACAAACTCACTGACTCCCAGTTACCTTGCCTATACATCCTCACACCCTGCTTCCTGAAAAGACATTATTCTATTCTCCCAGTTTCTCCATCTTCATCGCATGTCTTCTAATGATGTCAATTTGACAAGAGGACCTCTGAAATGTCCACCTTGTTTCTTAATTGAGGATTCCCCAGCATTGTGATTGACAGGACGCTTATTTGATCGGACCCATCTCCTGCACTTCAGGTCTTACCTCCTCTCTTCCCTACCACAACAGCGATAGGGTCCCCTTTGTTCTTACCTACCATCCCACCAGCATCCACATCCAGAAGATCATCAGCTGCCATTTCCACCACCCCCCCACCCCCATCTTCTGTATAAAAACCATCCTTTTCCTAGTTACCATCACTTCTGAAGAGTCACTGGACCTAAACTTTAACTCTGATTTCTCTCCACACATGCTGCCAGACCTGCTGAGATTTTCCAGCAATTTCTGTTTTTGCTTCAGAAGACGTACGTTGGATCTCCTAATCCTCAACCCACAAATGTATCAAGGCTGTTATTGATGCAATCTGTGCAAGATCAAATAGTTTTTTATCTTAGCCCATGACATCAGTGCTACAGCCTAGGCAGTCGGCTCTGCCAATATAGCTGGACTTCCCCAGGTGCAGTGCATGATAGCATTGAAACATGCCATGTTGAGAGTCCAATATGATAATATGGTTAAGTTCATTAATAGAAAATGATTCCGAACATTCAATTTCAAATCACCTTTAATTATCAGTACCACATCTTAGAAGTCTGTACCAGGTACACTGGAAGCTAATATGACACATATATCCTTGATAACTCACAGATTCCTGCTTCATACCAAGAGCTGGATTCCTTACAAGAATAGTTGCTGGGAGACAAAGGCTAAACTATCCAACCATGAGTACAATCCCTGATTGAGCCCAAACATAAATACAGTGCAACCCTTTCTTTTGCTGGGGCCATTATGGACAGATGACAGGCCTCCTCGACGTGAGATTTCTGCATAACTGGATCAGGCAAAGACGGGATGTGATGGATATTGAAGAGATGGGAAAATGACAGCACTCTTCTGAGGAAGATGAAGTCACTGAGTGGAAGGAACATCACGTTCACCATGACAGAACGGTGCAGTGTCGGACACAGCAAACTACTCAGAACTTAACTGCCATCTGCATACAATAGATCTGAGAAGGGTGAAGACACATTCATTGACTGTAAACTTGTTATCATTCCAAAAGCAAATAGTTTTAATCCCAAAGACAAATGCAACTTTACTGTTTATTCCTTCTTCACTTTTCATGATGATTTACAGACGTTAATGTTAACAGATGTTTGAAGGCTCACATTATCCGATGCTCCTATTTTCAACAATGATAATATTTTATTTAATGAAAAATTAACACCACTTCAGACTGGTTGCTAACTTTATATGGCACTAAAGAAAAGTAACAAAAATGTGGTATTCTGTGTATAATGAAATGTCACCCATACCTCATATGTACCACCTGTTGCAAAGTTGCCAAGTATTTGTGAATTACAAGGCACGAAGTTAGAATTCATTGGTAAAAATGATAGTGGGGGAAAAAAGTGCGTAGTCCCTTTAAGGGGTGAGAATTTTTTTGTGCTTAGAGACTTTTAAGAAATGTATGTCTGTGAGCAACAGTTGGAAGTTGACAGTACAGAGAGCCTCAGAAAGTAAAACAAGTGTATCAAAAAAACCTTACAGGTTGCAGGCAAAACAGCAGTCTTGTTTTGATGTTTTGGCAACTTTTAATTTGGCCAATTAATTTAAAAACAAGTACCTAGATACAGAAAGCCAGTTGAATTTAAATCTGATGGTGTTGACGACCTCGAACCAATTCTAGTAAGGCATACCATTATGTCATTACAGGTATAAAGATGAGGGCATTTTGAAAGTTCAGAGAGCCAACTGCCATCTGAGAGCAGAGCCAAACTTCAGCTGCAGTGAAAGCAAGTCCACCACCTCAGATACAAACCAAGCTTTCACATAAAATTACTGAGCTCTCTGGAAAGACCCATCAAAGGTACCAAGACATTCTAACTCAAAATCTTCACCAAAGAAATTAAAGAGAAAAACATCCAAGATAGCAGAATCATCAGAACAAAGGTGTTTGTGACTTTTCATCAATGGAGAAGAAGGAACTTTCTGGAAGAAGTCTGTGTGAACCTGGAGAGATTAAGTTTTAATTTATCGTTTTTTCTATTAACTGGAATTGTACCAGTGGGACTTGTGTTTATTTGAATAGCATTCCAGTAGAATTTAGTTCAGTTAGGAAGTAGTTAGTAGTCTGGGGGGAACTGTTGGTTTGTTAGTAATTCTGTTAATTTGTTCACTGTTAGGGTTAAATAAATAAATTGTT